TGGAAATGGGAAAAACTTCACTAAAGTTAGATTTTTTCTTTTTTAACAACCCAACATGATCATTATTAGAGGAACACATAACACAGAATGATACAGAAAGCTTAAATGTAAAAGGATGGACAAATTTCATTAATCACTTACAAACAGAAAGAGAGCAGATATCAAATAAAGCAAAAAAGTATTGAAATTAACAAAGAGGATCATTTTTATAATAATCAAAAGTGAATATGTAATTATTCCAACTCCTCTTCTAGTGATAATTCTCGTTGTTTCAAAATATACTGAACACAACCTAAATGTCCCAGTAGAAGAATGGTTAAATGTACTGTGGCATATCTGTGTGGGGGCCTTATGTATAATGATTCAGAATGGTGATATTGAGGTTTCTTTGTTCACAAGGAAGGCTGTTACCAATATATTGTTGATGGAAGAAAGCATGTTGTAGGTAGTACGGACATTATTCTCCTCCGTTGGTTGAAGTAGAACCAACATGTTAACCGGGGTTATTTCTAGGTGATAAAACTAGTCAATTTAAATATTTTCATGTATACCTTTAATCTTTTCCTATGGCAAATATAGTAGATTATATTATTGTGCCAAGTATTCACTGCCTCTCCCTCTCGGAGAATTATACTTTCATGTATCACTGACCTCAGTTTGGCTGTGTGACTTACTTTGGCCAATAAAATGTGAGTGAAAGTGACATGTGCCACCGACAAGCAAAAGCTTTAAGAGCTATGTCATGGTTCTGCCCTGGCTGTTTTCCTCCTTCACATGGGGGTTGCTCCTTCAGCCCGGAATGAAGAGGATGCAGAGTAGGGCTGCAGCTGACCCCTAAGGGACATGTAAATGAGTAAGAAATAAACCTTTCTTGTAAGCCCTTGAGATTTGAGGGTTGTATTGTTATCACATCACAACTTAGCCTAGGCTAAGTAGTCCCCAGTTTCAAATATTTTTCTGAACACATAGAATTTTTGATGCTTATGAACAGCTAGTTCTAGAAGTCTTCCCTGCTACCTTTTGCTTTAGTTAGGTCCGTGGGTCATATATTTGAATTTTATGTCCCTCAACATAAATGCAAATGTTACAGCTCTTAGAAACAATTGTAGTGATCCACTGATATGAAGGAGGAATGAGACAGGAAAATTAGATGTTTGGCTCTCATGTTGCTGTTATTTTCAGCCACCATACTTTTCTCATTGAGTATAGGAATTATATTGGTGTTGTCTTTAAAATCTGTGGTCTTTTTCGGTTTAGAATTTTGTTTAGGAAGTTTCATACTTTTCTCATTGAGTATAGGAATTATATTGGTGTTGTCTTTAAAATCTGTGGTCTTTTTTGGTTTAGAATTTTGTTTAGGAAGTTTCTGAAAATGTGCTTTGATAGAGATTATGAAATAAGTGTTTTTTTATGTCACAGCAATTCTTACACTCTAGGAATAAAGTATGAATAGGCGCAACCTAACTTACAGAGTTTAGACTTGCTTTTATCATGCATTTTGAAGTAAAGCAAGTGGTTAGACGGTTGATTGATAATCAGGTTGGAATGATCTTTAAAGGTCATCTCATTCAAGCTTAGATTAGGTATTTGAAACCCCTTTTGTTAAAAAAAAATCAAAGGTTAATAAAAACAACAGCAATAACCTCAAAAACAATTCTGGGAATGAATTACATTCTCTTACTCACCTATTTTTCATTCTTGATATGATTTAAGATATTCGTAATTGCAGTTAGTCATTGACTAAACAACCTATATAAAGACACAAAATTATGATGTAGTCTTAACTTGAAATAATCATATTTGTGGTCTTCAATTTTTTTTTTACATTTTGTTTTAGTGACAAGATGTAGTTCCTTCATTCATTAGAAATATTGAAAGAAGATGATTTAGAATGAAACATAGGACATAGGGACTCGCATAGTTTACATTAGAACTCTCAGTACGTCTTTTACATGTAAACTTCAAAATTCTTCACTCTTGTTTGCAATTAGGAGTACTGCAGAGCTGACAAGCAGCTCCAGTTTTTGGTTTAATTTTCAACCAAAATGTTGCCCTTTCATCATAGACAGATTACCCTGAAAATATCATGTTAGATTAAAACAAAAACCAAGGTGTTGGCACTGGTGTTAATAGGGAAGGTGTAGTTAGATGCAGTCAGGAAAAAAAAAAGTCCAACAGAGGAAATGCTGGCCCTTGATGTAGCTTGGATTGAATTTACTTCCAAACGGATAACAGCTTAATGAGTTTGGTTGTCTCAACCTCCTCCCTTGGGGGCACTTGAGCACATCGCAGAACCTCCATACTTTTAGCTCAAGTGTCAGCATTTACTTCTAAAACATCTTGGACCAGAAAGCGAAGTACTTCAAATCAAGGATCTGAGCAGTGTTCTTGCTTTCTGTTTGCTGGCACCAGAGCTTGGCTTGAGAAATCTTACTCCCACTTAGACGACCTTCATAAAACAGAAGGATTGGATGATCATCTGTCAAGTGTCAGCTTATTACTACCCCTTGCCAGTACTAAATGAAACCTGATCCCAAGCCAAGGAAAGAGCTCTGTAGCTCTTTATATTTCTATTAGCCCAAAGACTAGTTTTGTTTCAAGAGAAAGCCTTCCAGTTTTGGTGATAAGAACCTTTTATTTTTCCTGTGGTGACAGTGAAGTTGAAATCTTAAGAAAGGATTACAAGTTCTATTCACTAGAAAATCCAGTTTTCCCAATTTATAATAATTTGCCTTTTATAGGGATTGTTCTTTCAAATAGTGTCTATAACCAGATGACTATTAAAATCCTGATTAAGGGGCACATAATCTATTAACATAATGTTGCAGATTTAAAAAATATAACTATCTATAGTATAAAATTTAATTTACTTGCACTGGCAGAGTTTACGTGATCTATACATAAATCACTTGATACATTTGTATCATTAACATAATCTATTAGACATTGATCTCCAGCCTAAATTTCTCTGAGCTCCAGACCTACCTTTCCAAGTGTTTGTTGCCATTTGAATGCTTCAGTTGTGCCTGAAACTCAACATGTCTGAAACCATACTCATGACCCTCTCTCAATCCTGGATTTCCTTTGGCCAGCCCACGCTGACCTGGGAGTCATCCTCAACCCTGCCTTTTCCTCCTCCCCCATATCCAGTCACAACAGACAGGACTTGGTGTTAAATTTCATGCCACCACTCCAGTCCATCATCTCTTGCTTCCTGATTGGGCCTCCCTCATCTTCTTTACTTCCCCAATTTGGTTCTCCTCATGGCTGCCAAAGTAGCCTTTTACACACACGTATGTGGTTATACCACACCCCCTGTAGAGCTTCTTTTGCTTATGATAAAAATCAAAATGCTGCACATGGCCAACAAGGCCCTGCAGGGACTGGCCTCTGCTTTCCTGTGACCTTCATGTCACTGTCTCTCTGTGCTCTAATCATATTGGCCAGCACTAATTCCTAGATCATGCCATGCTGGCCACCCAGGCACCTGGTTAACACCTACTCATCCTTCAGATCTCAGCTCAAACCCACCTGCTTAGGGATACCTCTGAGTATCCAGACCCAGTTGGTTTCCCCTTGCCACATGTCCTCCTAATACCCCATGCATCTTCATCCTTTTTTGATTATTTGATTGACTGTCTCTCCCTCTAGACTGATGTTCAGGCCTCAGTTTTTTTTTTTTTTTTTTTTTTTTTTTGTGAGGAAGATCAGCCATGAGCTAACATCCATGCCAATCTTCCTGTTTTTGCTGAGGAAGACCAGCTCTGAGCTAACATCTATTGCCAATCCTCCTCCTTTTTTTCCCTTTTTTCTCCCCAAAGCCCCAGTAGATAGTTGTATCCTGCTAGTTGCTGTATGTGGGACACTGCCTCAGTGTGGCCGGACAAGCGGTGCGTCGGTGCGTGCTCAGATCTGAACCCGGGCGGCCAGTAGCGGAGCGCGTGCACTTAACCGCTAAGCCACGGGGCCGGCCCCCTCACTTTTCTTTGGCCTAAAGATTGGTATCTGATCATCACCAGCAGCTTTCTCTTCCAACCTGTGCCAAACTACTTACCCAAGTATTGTGGGTTTCCTTCAAGGAGTATTATTATTAAGATGGGGGCTGGAACTTAGCCTTCCATCTCTTATTAGAAGAGGATAAAGTTTACTTTAGTGGTAAATCTTTTGTGGATCACAGATTGTTGTGTAAGCTTTTCAATCTTACGCTATCGTACTTACCTTAAAATAATTTTTTTTTTAGCTTCCCATGTTGCCAGTTGAACAATGCTTCTCTTTCAGGCACAAATTTTTAGCCCTGGTTCTTACAGTGCAGACTTTCTTATATGAATCCAAGTGAAAAATGAAGTGGTTCTTGGCTGTGGATAAATGAAGCAACTCCAAGCATTACCCCAGTTCCAGAACATGCCTGTCAATCTGTAGATGCTTGAGAGCCTATTGGTTGTTGAGTTGAGAGTCATGTGTAGGTGTGCTGTGGTCTTGAGGTGCAAATAACTGTGGATATGTGTATTCCATGATCCTTCCTAAATGCTGGATCACATGATGCACAAAATACATGGACCCTTTTGCCTTTTGTGTCTGACTGTTTTGTGTTGGATTTAACCATCACATACATGACATGGATAAACGAAAATGAAGACAACATGGACTGAGCCCTTATTATAATCCATTGAGCAGGGAAAATTAACTTTCAGGGGAAGAAACAGATGGACTTTGGCATGAGGGTCCAGAACATAGCATTGTAATCTGCTTTAAAACAAAGAAAATGTAAAGGAAGAATATGACTTGAGCATATGGTTTCTTCCCATTTTCCTGTTGACAGAGTTTTGTTACGTATTAACACTTATGCTCCACCTTAAAATCTGCAGGAAGAAATAATATTTCCTAATGTGTCAGAGTTCTTCCTCTCACTAACATTTGAGTAATTTTTCTTAAATATAATGATTTTTTAAATTTGTGTTTTAATTACTTACATGAAGTTTTTTTGTTTGTTTTGCTTTTAGGTGTTTTGGACACCTAGAATATTTGCCTCCTCTTTTCTAGTCAAACCTGATTCATAAAATGGACTAAAGCTGAAAAATCGTCTGCTGCTTTGTCTGTGAATTTCAGACACGACTGGGATGGTCTTAAGTGCATACAACTAGACTCACTGCAGCTATGAGTTCAGACGAGAAGGGCATATCCCCTGCTCATAAAACATCCACTCCAACCCATAGAAGTGCCTCCTCTTCAACGTCCTCCCAAAGGGAGAGTCGGCAGGTAAGAGAAGAGTATGCAGTGTGTTTTGTTATTTTATACAAATACAGTACCATTAGGATATGATGGGATTGCTAAGTAATTCTGAAATTTTGTTGTGAGGATTCTTATGCTACAGGAAGACTCACTGTTTGCAGTAGATCTACCTGATGATGTCATGAAGATCCTGCTCTTGCTTTTCTGTAGTTTAGGATCCTTTTTTAGAGTGCAGACCACAGGAATGGTGGCCCTGCTGGTTTCTCCTCACTGTCTGCACCTGGAGGCAGGAACCAGCTTCAGGAACTTGAATGTTCTGCTCTCCCTGTCTTCATTCGTGGAGGTGGAAGGGATCTGGACCTGCAAAGGTCTTCTTCCTACAAGTCTCTCACTGGCCTGTCAAGCACTAACTTCTGTTTGGTGTTTCATGGAATCTGGTAACAGTCAGATTCAGGAATTAAGATACAAATAAAATTGTAGTATCAGGGAATTAAGGGCAGTGAGAACTCAGACAATGTTTAAAGTCAATAGAGAAAGTAAATTACTGTTGCTTAATTATCCCATTAAGCCAATTCTGTAAATTATCTTTGTTTACACAGAGTTGCTTCGTTATTACTTCACTGGCTATTCTGCTGGCAAGGCTGGGTGGGGATTAGTGGTATGAATTCTCTTCATTGTCGAAACGGGCGGTGGTTTTGCCAAGCACTTGTCTGAGTGTTACTGTTTGCCATTATAATATCTTGGGATAGGATTCTTGTTGTGTAACTGGAAATTCACAATAAGCAGGTGTTGTTAACTTTTTATAAAAACTTTCCTTTTAGGGGGCATTCAATCAATGAAGATTCTTGAAGGGTTTTTTCCCCCCTATTTTATGTGCTCAAAATCTATGACTTGGGTCTTGAGACAGCCAGTTCCAGATGTGAATTCTTTGTTTTAGATGCGGGGAATGCACTTCTGGGGGTGTTCCTTAGGAAACCGTTGGTCTACAGACCCTCCCAGCACTCCCTCTCCCATTTCTAGCAAGAGATTCCAGGGGAATCTGTAAGAATCAGGGATTCCTTATGTGTATATCTTTCACAGAATCTAAGGCAGATATGTCCACTACAGGTCTTGGGGAATTTTTGACATTGGTGTCCTTTCCAATAAAGTTCAAAGAGGACACTCATATTCTGTTCATTACAAGCAGTTATACCATTAACTAAATTTGTGGTTACACACAGTGATAATATTTATTGCATTGCATTTGTAGAGTCAAAGAAAGGAAGAGTACCATGAATGAAAACAGATTTATGTTAAATAACTACTGCATGCTGAGATGCTTTCTAAGTTTGCAAATTCAGTCTACCCTTCACCTGCCCCTTTGTCCTTTCTTGTTAGGGCTTCTCCATTTTTCCCTTGCCCTGGGCATTTAAACTGAGAGACATTTTAAGCAGCGTGGCCTTCCTGGCTGCTGGGGAACGGAAGGGGTTGACCCAGCTCACCCTGGAGAATTGTGGCAAATGGAAAAGACTGATGACTGCCGTGGAAACATCTGTCATGCATTGTTGCTCTGCCTGTTGGAGCTGAGCTAAGGGGCCAGCATACAAAACCACAGGGAAAAAGTGAGACCCTGCTCTTCCAGAGGGAGTTTGAAGGTGGAATGTGTGACTCCTAGTTGACTTGTGAATCGAAAGTTCTATGATGGGAATAAAGGAACATGTCCGTAAATTGATAATGAATTCTAGAAAACTAAGAGACAATATTCAAATGGTTATTCTTTAAGGAGAGAGTTTACTTTCGTTCCTGTTTATCTCAGCAGGTGGAAACTCTCCCAAATACTTTCTCTTCTGGTTCCTTCCTGCCTCCTGTTTTGTGTCTCTTCATCTCTCTCAAGAGAAAGAAGAATAAAAAAAACAATTATAGTTCTCATTTTCCTTTTCTATCTCAATCGCTTCCTAAAATCCAGTATTAATTATGGAAATCAGAAACTTTGAGTGACCCCGTGATGTGATATGATGCAATGATTTTTATATGCATCTATTTTTGTGTGATAATTGTGACATAAAACGTAGCTATGAAAATATGTTTTCATAGTGAAGAGACATAGAGAAAGTATGATAAATGAGTCTTCATTGAATGTTGCCATTTTCCCGATTTGACTGACATCTATGCAGATGGTGCCAAATTGCAGGTTCCATCCCTATTTCTTTCCTAAATTGATCATACAGGTAAAGGATCTGGCACATAGCTGATAATACAGTGGTACCTTAATACACTCTATTTGCCTGTCCTTCCCAAGTTCTAGTCCTAGATCACTAATTAATTGATTGGGCATTTCTGCTTGATGTACCACTTTCACCTTAAATCAATATATGTAAACCAGCTTGCTGTCGCGATAATCATTCTCTCATGGACCCAGGGTCAAAGCCATTCCTTTCTCCTTTGCCTCTCCCCATTCAGTAGGTTAACAAGTCCTATTGATTATTTCCTCCTTCATAATATCATAATTTCTCTCTGTTCTCACTCTCCACTCCCTAGCCCACACTCTCATCACGTCAACTCGGGACCCTGCAGAGTGCTCTTGCCTCACCAACTCCATTATGGCCTCACGAGATCGAATTTCCTTAATACAGCAGATTCGTGCTCAAAACCCTTCAAAGACTCTCGGTTGTACCATTAAGACCATATTTCCCTACTTGGTATCCAGCGACCGCCATGATCTAATCCAGCCTCAGTGTCCCATTTTTCTTCCAACCTGGACTGTCTTATCTGTTCATGGTTCCAAAACTGCCTTATCTCTATCTCTGCCCTTGTCTTTCCTGCATGGAATTCCCACTACCCTCCTTTTGACCTGATACCAGGTCAAAAGGACCAGTTCTTACAACATTTTCGCTGGCCACTCAAACCTACGTTGCCCTCTCCCTTCTCTGAACGTTTATAGAATTTTTTGACAATATTTGACATTTTATATTTATTTTTTTTGTATGATCTCTTCAACTGTATTGTGAGCTCTTTTAAACAGATTATGCACTCTAATTCTTCAAAGACAAGTCTTGCACTTCAAATATTTTAATATTATCCTAGAGAATATTTTTAAAGACCTGCAACAATATTGCTCTTGTCTTTTTATTACAGGTTTTCCAGTCCAGATTTTTTTGTCCTCTCCCTTCTTCCTTACTCATAGATACGTAAAACAAAGGACATCTGCCAAGTGCATAGTGATAATTGGCTGCCCTTCCTGACACTAAATTATGTAGCCCAACAGGTGAAGGAGGGAGAGGAGTTGGGAAATAAAGTGATTTATTTAGTGTGATCACTAAGTGTGTCTTCACCAAAGAGAGGGTCAAGACTCCACTTAGCATTAACAAGTTGGAAGACTTTAGTAATTGCTCCATTTACATTTCGTTAAAGTTTGATATTAGATGTTGGAACATCTAATAAAATTGGCTGTGTGTGTGTAATCAATTATGACTCAAAAGCTGCAAGAAATATACACCCTAAACTTTTCAAAGAGGAAACAAAGGAGTTGATTGGACATCTAGGACTTATGCATAAACCAGCGTTTCCCAAAGTATGTGCCAAGGAAGGCTTGTCCCTTGAGATGTTGCATGAAAAGCGGGTTCTACTGTCAGGTAAGTTAGAGAAAAGCTAAGTAGTCTCTTTGCAGTGCATGTCAATAAGTTAAGGACACCGATAAATCCTGTATTAGAACTTTTATTTAACTGAGCACTTCTAGAATTTAATAGATTGTGGACCTTTTTTTATTTCCCTATGATTTGTTTGTTAAAAATCAAGATTCTTCTTTCTATTAAGAAATTGGAAGATCTAGGAACACTGGGCCCAGATTCCAAATGGTAACACTAGACTGGGCTCAGGAGAGGCTTCCCCTTTAGATGGTGCGTTTACTCTCTCATCAGTCCCTACCTCTCCTTATTGTATATCAATACTTATTTATGTTTCCTGCCTGGCCCCTGAAAGCATTTGAATTTGCCACCCTGATCCTGAATATCAAGTCAGGCACAGTAATATTTAAGTGACCAAAGGTGATCTCCACTTGGATGTTAAAAAGGCATCTCAAACTGAACATGTCTAAAACTGAGCTCTTAATTTCTTTCTCAAATCTACTCCTTCCCAGTCTTCCTGATCTCAGTCAACAGTGGGTCCGTCCTTTCATTAGGTAAGGCAAAAAACTTACCAGGAGTCATCCTTGACTCCTGGCTTTTTCTCACACCCTGCTTCCAAACCTTCAGCAAATCCTGTTGGTTCTACCTTCAGGATGTACCTGGAATCTGACCACTGCTTACCACCTCCTCTTCTCCACCCTGGTCTAAGCCACTGTCATTTATCACCCAGACTATGGCCATAGTCTTCTAACTGGTCTCCCTGCCTCTATCCTTGCCTGACATACAGGTCATTTTTTACAGACTAGTCAGAGTGATCCCTTCAAACCTAAGTCAGTTCAAGCCACTCCTCTGCTCCAGGCCCTCCAGTGGTTTCCCACCTCTCTCCAAATAATATTGGAATTGCTGACCATTGTCTCCAAGGTCCTTCATCATCTGGTTCTGCCTACCTCTCTGATCCCATGTCCTGCCATATTCTCCTTCACTTAGTTCTCTCCAGCATTTCCCTCCGGCTCCCACCTCAGAGCCTTTGTTTTTTTGGCCCCCTCAGCCTAGCTTGCTTTTTCTCCAGGCATCCCCAGTTTGTTCACACCCTTGACTCATTCTCCAAGTGTGCCCTTTTTAGGCAGCCTTCTCTGCCCTCCCCTGCATATCCTCACCACTCATTGTCCACTTACCTCGTTTTATTTGTCTTCAACGCATTAACCACCACCTGACAAGTTATCTATTTACCTGTTTATATCTGTATCCCCTTTCTCTATTCCTTATCACTGAAATGTAAGCTCTCTGAAAACAGGATTTATTTTGTTCAATAACATATCCCTAGCTCTTCATACAGTACCTCGCATATGGTATGGCTCAAAATATATTTGAATGAATAAATGAATGAGAAGTTGTCCCGAGAGCAAGATCGTGAACCAGGTTCCA